ATATATATATATGTGTCTTTTATATCTGCCTGGAGTTCATCATTAAAAAAACAGGAAGTAGCAGAGCAAGTCCATTGAACAAGATCTAATTTGCCCTTAGAATTTAAGCTGGTCATTCAATATAACTACCATTTGGATTTCTTACAGCCTTGGACAACAATTTAAAGTTTGGATTAGAGTGTTAAAGTATATCAAAACCCAAATCAGATATGCAATAATTGTCCTAGTAATTTAATATTGTTAAATTACTAGGACACCCTATTTTAGTCAATTGCTGTAACTTCTGAAAATCCTCTTAGCTTGAAAGACAAAAACTAATGCAGCCACCACATCTAGGGAATGGTAACTTGCAATACATTACTTTTTTATTGTATTTAGTTATCCTTTAATTAATTTCAGAAATACAGAGAATTAATTCATTAATTCTTAATTACTGTGAATACTTTTGAATTGAATACTGTTCATTCATGTTGTGTTTTAATGTAAACATTTACAGGGCTATTCACAAAAAGGGGGAAGCGTTTGGAGAAGGCAGGAGAAGTGAACAAACTAGGACAATGTAGCTGATTTGGAAAAATTCTCCAATTCAGCTCACTTTCCAGTTCAGCTATGTTGTCCTAGATTGTTCACTTCTCCTGTCTTCTCCAAACTCTTCACCCTTCTGTGAATAACCCTGTTAGGATACATACACATAAATAAAAAAGATTGGCTATCAGCTCAAAAACATTCTGAGATCACATAACTTGAGAAACAGCTGCCCAGAGAAGAGAAATAAGAAGATTTCTTACCAGAAATAATTCAAAGGACTTTTGTCCAAATAATCTGTTGGCATTAATTAATATGTGTCCATCACTTTTTTTCTCTAACATCTCCCAAAGATTCTTGTATTCCACATGGACATCTTTAACATCTTTGAAGTGTATTGCCTTGCAAAATGAATAAATATATTGTTATTATGGACTGACGTTTCTTCAAACAGTAGTATAATGCTTAACAGCATGGCAATATGATACTTAAAGGAGAACTATGAGGTGAGTGCTTTTCACTCACCTCATAGTTCTAGCCGACCTGTGACAATGAGACTGTCACAGGTCGGCTCAGTAGATCAGGAGGTGAGCGAACGCATATCGGGTTCACTCGCCTCTCGATCCTGTCACGGCTCTCTGCCGTGACAGGGGGAGGGGCTGGATTCCCCTCTCCCCGCTCCGATCTGCCAGCGCTGACTGGCGGAACGGACGGGGAGGGGGCGGGTACAGCTGGCTCTGCCTCTAGATAGGCAGAGCCAGCTGTCACTCACGCAGCTGGGCGGATCCCGTCATCTACGTCGGGATCCGCTCCGGCGTCTCAGTATACCGCGAGCTGTAGCTCGCGGTATACTGAGCTTAGGGTAACGGGAGGACGCTAGTTTGTGTTCTCCCGTTACCCTAAGGAGAACTATGGGGAAAAACACTGACCCCATAGTTCTCCTTTAAGAACATTATGCAATGTCAAGCTGCAGTTTCTAAAGCAAGCAAAATACTTTCTTCTATTAAAAAAGGATCAGACTCCAGAGAGATCCTGCCCCTGTACAAAGCATTAGTAAGATCTCTTCTGGAATATGCAGTTCAGTTGTGGGTGCCAGTTCACAAAAAGGATGTTGCTGAACTGGAGAAAGCACAGAAAAGGGCAACTAAACTGATAAGAGGAGCTTATCTGTGAGGAGAAATCAGCTGAACTGACTTTATCCTCCCATGAGAAGAGGCATTTAGGAGGTGATGAGATTACCTTGTATAAATACATAATTGGCCTATGTAGTTAACCTGGTGCAATCTGCATCTGGAGGAAAAAGAGGTTTGACCTCCGCAAACAGAAAACATCCGTTACAGTAAGACCTGTGAAAATATGCAATGACCTTCCTCAGGATCTATTAATGGTAAGTATTAACATAGATTGTTGATCTAGATATCCAATAGCTTTAAGGGATTGGAAAGGAATGTTTTCCCTGTTGGAGTAAATTGGACCATGCTTTGTAAGGCTTTTTCACCTCCCTCTGTATCAGCAGTGGGTTTATGGTTTTGTGGATACAGGGTTTAATTTTATTTATACATTTTTCTATTAGTTGAACTTGACTAACTAAGTACTGATGTAACTATGTATCTAGTGTACAAAGCTTTGTGTTTGTATGAGGATTCTGTATGGTTTTTCAGTTAAGAGGAACATGGCAACCTGATATTGCCCGCTGAAATTGGTATTTTTAGCCCCATAAACTACAACAATTTAACCAATTACATAAATTATTCAAGCTGAAAAATAGATACTTGTCTCATAGTTGATCTGGAAAAAAGCAAAATCACTTATAAAGTATGGTCCAATTTACTTTTTTAAAAATCTTCTCGATCCCTAAAGCAAATTAAACAACTCCATGAATTGATATCCCCCAATGTTATTTCTCACAAATATTTGTATTATGAGCATTTAGAAACACATACTGTCCTTTTTATAAAGTTTGTACTTAAAATTTGTACAAGCACAATTATTACCACTTATAACTACCACTTATTACTGCCACATAATGCTATATTAATGCATAATATTATAACTCCATATAAGTTTCCAGAAATGCAGGTTTGTTTTACATTATAAATTTCCATTTTAATGTATTTATTACGTTTTTGAGTCAAAGATAAAGATAAATAACAGCAGGGGACAACATCGCAAGAAATACTAAGAGTCATCAAAAAATCAAACAAGCAAGTAGATGAAAGTTAGAACAGTAAGATGGTGCAGAGTAAGTGCTAAAGTTTCATAGATAGAAATATAAGCGGAGCGAGAAAGGGAAAGACAGGAGACAAGAAAAGGAAATGGAGAAGAAGGAAGAATAGAGATGGAAAAGGTAAAAGGAGCATGGAAAAAGGGGCCGAGCCACTCTAAAAAATTGTGTGTCACTGGGTCCAAATTAGGAAAGGCAACAGAAGACTATGGTCCCCAAACCTTCTTAAACGTCTTGTGGATATAATTGAGAATGCTAGTCAGATGTTCATTCAAAAAAATCCCTTAATGTTGAAATTCTCTATAAGGAATAGTTTTTTTTTTTTCCATGAATGAGCTGTGGTTTGTTTAGCCACCAGGAATGTAAAATTCACCAATTGTTGTTGGGAGCAGTGTAATTGTGGGATCATACAATCAGGCACAGATTACCAGTGGTCTCTTGGAACGGGTACTCGAAGCAAGGTGGAAATAAGCCTATATATTTTTGTCCAAAAGTGGATTGCAAAAGGGACAGGTCCGCCAAGTGTGCATAACATCGCCCACTACAAAGCAACCCCTGAAGCAAGTGCTGGGATATATAGGCTGAAGAGGATTAATTCTAGTAAGGGCCAAATACTATCTTGTAAGCAGATTCCTGAGTCGCGATATTGCGAGAACACTTGGAAACCATGTCCTAAATTTCAGTCTAGTCTTTCAGAGGTTTAGTATGATTCAGGTCGTGATACCATCTGACAACAAATTTGTGAGTTGCGAGGCAAGAGAGATAATTTCATTGCGACTATAGCAACGAGATGAGTTTCGGGGAACAAACCATTTAAAACAAATGCATTCTAAAGAGGTAAGGGGTAGAAATGTCCACACGGGAAGTCAGGAATTGAACTCCAATGTCTAATTTGAATGTATCGAAATAGTTCCCTAGGAGGGGGTTGGGACCTGGAAAGAGAACAATTTAGAATCGCACAGGAAGCAGGAAGGGTAGTATAGCCATGAGTAGTCCACCATGAGGGGAAAACAGGGTTCCCTTGTAGTGTGGTAAGAGGAAGATGTGGGGAGATGAGGAAGCTAAAGAATTTGACTTAATCTCATTCTTTCAGTATATGCCAAGAAAAGGGCGAGACGTGTGCAAGTTGTTGGATGCAAGGAATGGATGAAAGGGAGTAGGGATGAACATAGGGGATTTCCAAGAGGACCCAAAGAGGGGGGTGAACCAATGTTTTGCATTATAATTTTATACATATATACAAATGTTTGAACTTACCTTTCTTATCTGTGCAGCTGTGCTACCCCCAGTTCCCATAAGCACCATTGAAAGTATACTAAATATACTCAGCGGTGAGAATACCGCATTTTGACCTACTGCATTCCTACTTATTTCTTGGAAAGCATCAACTGCAAAATGATTGTTTGCAGCACATATATCCATTTTTTATGTCTGTCAAATCTGGGGAAGAAAGATTAAAAAAATCATTAGTAATACTAAATTACTAATTTATTACTTCATTCACTATGCTTTACTTTATTCACTATGCTTAAGTCCAACAAATGCAAAATATTTTCTATGGATTACTATGGGTTATTGCACCTCAGAAAAGTACATTTTTTAAAAAAATCTTATTGTTTCTGAATGCTATTTAGGTTAGAAGATAGCATCTCCAAATAGGTTGGTGGTTGTCTGATTTCATATAATGAGTGGGGGAAATATAATCACTGCATAAAAACTTTCAATTTATTTCCGACTGTACATGCATGTGAGTAACTGGGGTTGATTTACTAAAGGCAAATAGGCTGCTCACTTTGCAAGGGAATTGTGAATAAGTGAGTGAATAAGTGAGTCTCTGCTGACTTCCATCATCCAATCATGTGCAAGCAACAATACTGGGTTTTTTTTGTATTTTTTGGGGGGGTTTCCTAGCAAGTCATCGGTTACTCTTTGCAAAGTGAAATTTCACCTCATTCACTAAGCTAAGGGTAAAATTCCCTTGCAAAGTTGCAAAGTGAACAGCCTTTTTCCCTTTAGTAAATCAACCCCACAGAGTCTAAATCTGTAAAGCATAAAACGCGCTAGTAAAAATAAAATAATAAGTTACTTTTTAGAGAGGGGAAGAGTTATATTTTGATATTTGCATGAATTGCACATGTATATCTTTCCATTTGAAGGCTGTAGCATAAATATTGCTTTTTATGAGAAGTGGTACACTATATTCCACTGCCTCACTTTCAGGTAGTGAAAATAAAAAGAAATATCTCCACCTGCTTAGGTATGGATGGTTGTTCATAAGATCATAAACTATTCTGCAAGATTTCCCCATTCAATGTTTGCCATTCAGTTGAATGTTTTGTGTTCTGGGAACAAGCAATTTTTAGATCTTTCTCAGTTATTGATAAAAGAAATACACACATCGTAGGTCTCATGTTTTGTCTGCTAGGGCCCTATAATAAAACTTCTAATGCGTTCTCATACAGTGCTTATGGCTAGTTTGTGTGTAATAAACTGGTCTCCTGGAGACACATTTAATAGCTATACAAATCACTAGCAAATGATATACAAACACTGACAATGACAGTTTTCATGCAAATTATAAAGCCATTGAGCACCTTCCTGTAGATCCACCTGAACTTAGGCAACTGTTCACCGGAGTTATATTTAGTTAGGAATGTTCTGCAGGAAGACTATATTTACATCTCATACCATTAATTAGAAAGACTTCCTCCCACTCACAACAATATTTAAGAGTCACACCTACAATTATTGCTTAGAGAACACATTTGTAAACGCCTTTGACCAGCAGCCGGCCGAAAGTCCTTCTAAGCCACGACCATGACTGAACAACATATCTCTTATGGAGTGAAGTGACACTGGGGGTTGATTTACTAAATGCAAATAGGGGTTAAGACATGACAGGTCCTTTTCCTTCACTCTTCTTCATTAGTCACGTAACCGGCTACATTTGTGGAATTTTAATGACACTAACGTGGTGTTGCTATGGATGTGCAGTCTTATGATTATGCAACTCCACTGTCTCTAATTACATGGTTAATATTATCACATATTACAGTGCAATTCCTTTTTCAGAAGCTCTTTATAATAAAAAAAAACAATCTACAAGTTAATTTATGTAAAAAAGAGATTTAAAAATGTTTTTAATAAATCTGAAAACTGTAAGTAGTTTAAGGAATCCTCTACTGAGAGTAATATGTGGGCTGCTGTTAAAAATGCTATTTTCCTGGTTGTTTTTGGCTTCACTACTTTCTGAGCTACTGACTGAAGATTTCCTTTAACATGTATTATTGGAAATCAATTAAATATTCTTACATATAGTTGACCTTGGCTGTGATGGGCCTGTTTGTCACCAAAGTAATAGATTTTATGTTTTGCAACAGTTCACTAAATATTACAACTAATTTTCTTCCACTGAAAATGTGGACATGAAAAGTTGTGAAATGTTATAGTGAAAATGTCATTGTGAAAAGCTCTAGAGAAAGTCTCTTTTCTATTTTTTAATAGAAAGTGTCTGAGACAAACTTTGTTGCAACTTTGTCTCAGCTGAAGCGCAACCACTCAGCTTTTACATTTTCATTTTCTAAGCTGTGTGGAGGAAATGGAAGATAGCGGCTGATTGGTTGCTATGGGCTATAGCACGAGATGAGATTGTCTCACTTTTTATTAATTCCTCCCAATTGTTTCTAGCTTGCTAAGTAATATGTCACTTGTAGATATTTATTACCCCTTGTGAAGATCACACTCCAGACAATGCGATTTTATTTCTAGAATCTTTGTTAAGGGGTCTTCCAGGGCCAGCATCTACTTCCTGGACTGAGATGCTGACTCCGAAATGAACCCGTCATGTAAAACGTTGTGACTGTGCAATTCCTGGCTGCGTTAAAAATGTCTAAAACAGATCAGCCCCTTACTGCAGCCCCTCTCCCCTGCTGCAAAATTATAATATTACAGTCTGATCATGGGGGGAAGTAGATTCATAAAAATGTCCTCCTACTTGCAGCAGACTCTCAGCCTAAGTAGGGTCTCAACAACTGCATTGTAATGCTAAATGTGCAGCATTTTTCAAATGATGCTGTTGCTGTATATTGCGACATGTCAGGAATTTCAGAAATGCAGATTTATAAAATGCCTGAAAGATCCACTGCAAGGGATTCATTTATCAAAGTTGTCCCCAGCTGTCATTTGCATGGCACTAACTCCCTTAAATGGTGCAGATGAGTATAGGAAATTTAAATGTAGCGGATTGCTCTAATTTGAGCGCAGCCTCAACTTTCACAAATATTTTTTAAAGAAAACAAATCTGTAGAAAGCTGATATAAAAAGGGAAAATCTATCTTCAAAATCGATTTTGCTGATTTTTCCCCCCACCATTTTTTAAATATATGGGAAATATGTGAAAGTGAAAAAACAGCAACATATTGATTTTGCCCTTTTTTAAATAGACTCCTTAGGGTTGATTTACAAAATGCAAATAGGCTGTTCACTTTGCAGGGGTATTTTCCCTCAGCTTAGTGAATGAGGTGAAGCTCTTCCATAATCCAATCATGTGCAAGGGAAAATACTGTTTTGCATTTCATCTGGTATTCCTTTCAGAGCCAGTTCACACCAATTGAGGTGCGATTCAGAGCTGCATTTTTTTGTGTTTGCATTGGACCGGAACGCAGGCAATGTTTTGCCATGCGTCTGATCTCACTGCGGGCTTCGGTGCCATTGACTTCAATCCACCGCCACGCCCCCTCCCGTCCCAGAACGAATGGGGGAGTTTAGTGTGTGATTACAGTGCGTTCCAGCAGCAACCGCTGCTTCCAGCAGCAACCACAATTGGTGTGAGCTGGTCCTTAAGATGATGCCAATCCACTTTGCAAAGAATACTCAATCACGTGGAAGGAAAATAGAAAAAAAAACAACAACAGTATTTTGCTTGCAAATGATTGGATAATAGAAGTCAGTAGAGCTGCACCTCATTCACTAACCTAATGGAAAATTCCCTTGTAATGTGAACAGCCTCTTTGCATTTGGAACATCACACTACTGCTGCCAAACCTCCTATCTGAGAAAATAATAATTGGATAATCATTTTTCAAGCTCATGTAGGATTTTCTACAAAGCTAACTATCATAAAATATACAGAGCTCTGATCCTAAACAGAGAGGACCTGAAGAGCTGGTCCCGAACAGCCAATATTTGTCATTATAATGAAGATAAAAAGTACGTTACCTTGTTTGCTTATCCTGCAGATCAAGTGCTCTGAGCTGCACAAGCAACCCTTTTAAATAGAAATACGTTGCCACTCCCCTGGTAGTATGCAGTTCGTTTTTATTTGGAACAGATGAGACATCATTATAGAAAGAATAAAAAAAACTCACTGCATTGTTCTCCGGTCTAGGTGTGGTTTCAGGTAGCTCTTGTGACATAAGGTTCCAGCATTTTGTAGTGCTTTCACTTCACATGCAATATAATTGTGTTACCTGTGACACATTTAACTAAGAGACAAACTTTGCCTACCTAAAAAATTACTGCCATCAAAAAACAAAATATCCCATATGGCACATACACAAATAGTGCATTCTCAGGATATTTGAGTTCCAAAACCATATATTGCAAGTGATAATACCATGGGGTCTATTTATAAACAATTTGCAGGGTCCTTTACCTTGTGAATATCTGTGAACATTCATTTTTGGCAAACAATGCCAAAAATAATTGTTCTTAATATATTTTTGTCTCATTTCAAATGTAGTGTTTTGTAATAATACATAATGGCCGCTAGATGGAGCTATGGAGCATAGGAAATAAGTATTGATGTATTATCACAACACACTACATTCAAACTGGTGAAAAAATATACTGTAAAAACATTCTTTTTGGCATTGTTTATAAATAGAACCCATGTTGTTATCACTTGCAGTATATGGTTTTGGAACTCAAATATCCTGAGAAACTGTGGATGTGCATTTGCACTATAAAATATTTTTGTTTTTTATAGCGTTAATTTTTTAGGTAGGGAGAGTTTGTCTCTTAGTTTGTCTCTTAGTTAAAACGGGTCACAAGTAACACAATTTTGGTTAAATTTTTATAAGGGAAAAAGCACTACTGGTGGGCTCAATGTCTCATTTTGTTTTATCAAAAATGAAAAACTTATTTCTGTGGTTACAGTCAATTAAAAAAATAACATTATAGACATCATAGACAAAAAAATGCACTGCGACACTGACACTTTATTCATGGTAAAAGTGAAAGATTCATGCACTCACTAGCTTTTTATATATCTAAGGGTCTCCAGGGGTCAGGTCTTCACAGGTTCGACCTAGCATTACGTGGATGGGGCTAACCATGTAGCAGCGATCCAACAGAAACAGGCAGCACAACTCCTCCTTTAAATTTTTATACATATAACGAGTAATCAGCAGCTACAATAATGCTTTATGTTTTCTTC